CATCACAACCACAACTTACTGGCAGTTTGACACACTACGTTCAGGGGTCGAGCCTCAAGCCAAAAAAGGTGGATATTCTGGTCTTCTTGGTCAAAAAAAATCAGGCCTGAATCTCAATTTATATATATATAAAAAAATGCAATATTAGTCGGAAAAATCGCAATTAGATATTTTCCACAAATCGTTCAGCCCTGATGACAGGTAAACTAGAAATAATGACACGCTATGCATCACTACACTCATGCATTCCACTGAGTTTATATATTGCGGAACAAAGTCTAATATTTTATTAATTCTGCAAAATGAAATTATTAACAATAACTGCTGTTGGTGACTATTCTTAACTGGTTACAGTGTGTGAAATGACACAAAATAATGTAAATGTAAATCATGTGATGTATGGTCAGAAAACTCAAGACTACAAAAAAGTCCTAAGCATTAGTCCTACACATGGTTTGATGTTCACACTTGTGACATTGTGAGGCTAAAAAAGAACTTCTGCTGTTGCAAAACTCAGGAAAAACCATCTTCCACTGAAAATATCATTTCCAGCTCGTGGAGAAAACATGTTTCTTTGTGCATATAAAGGCTCATATTGTTACTAAACCCAGATCTCTTGGATGGAAAACATGAGCGGCGAGCTGGCTGTGAGAAACGTTTCATAACATGCCGTCTATAAAATGAACAGAACAGGCGATAAAAAGTGATTGCGAGTTCATACATTAATCAAAATGCAAATCCTTATGCTCCTTATGTTTTTACCTATCATAGCATGTAAGCATTGGAACACATTTCCAAGGACCACAGTGTTTGAGAGCAAATCAAGTCTTTTGGCTATTCATTTTGTTTGGGAATCATTCAGAATGCTGCAGGTTCCAACATGCTGCAAATCCATACTAAGACACAGAGCCAAACAGGTTTGCTTGAGGAGACCGCTGCAGGGTTATGTTCATGACCCCCATAGCTTGAAGCTTCGGTAACATTAAACTGATGCAAACGGATGAATGATGTAACGCAATGCATGCAGCATGTTAAAGAAAAAATTAACTTGTGATTTACATAAATAACCCAAATCAATCAGCAAAGGCACATTTACAGTCTAAAGTTGGTGTCTTTAGTTTTGCACTGGAGCTACAACACTAATGTTCCTAACAAGAAAGGGAAACGTATGTACGCCTATTAGCATCAAGCTAACTGCGTGCCCACCGGACCTCCAGGACTGGAGCTCCCAACCCCTGAGTTAAGTAATCTCAAATCAACTTGTGTTTGTGGTTTCTGACACTGTAGGATTTATGTTTATAGATGCTATGAAAAGTATGTTGCAAAGATAAATATTTACTTATAAAAATATTTGCTCATTTTGAATTTGATGCCAACAACATGTTCCAAAAAAGTTGGGACGGGGGCATGTTTACCGCTGTGTTTCATCACCTCTTCTTTTAACAACACTCTGTAAGCGTTTGGGAACTGAGGAGACACTGCTGTAGTTTTGAAAGTGAAATGTTTTCCCATTCATGCTTAACATAGGATTATAATGCGGCAAATGTTTTCAGTGGTGACAGGTCTGGACTGCTTGGGCCCAGAGAAGGTGGCAGCATTTATGGATCCTGTTTATATATTGTTTCTTCTTTGCATTTTAGAATTTTAACTTGCATTTGTGGATGCAGTGATGAACTGTTTTCACAGACAGTGTTTTTCAGAAGTGTTTCTGAGCCCATGCAGTGATTTCCACTACAGAATCATGTCTGTTTTTAACAGACAGCAGTGCTACCTGAGGGCCCAAAGATCACGGCCAGCAAATACTGGTTTTTGGCCTTGTCCCTTGCATACAGAGATTTCTCCAGATTCTCAGAATCTTTTAATGTTATTAAGTACCGTAGATGATGAAAAGCAAACGTTGTTCACTATTTCATGTGGAGAAATGTTATTCTTGATTTGATCAATGATATTTGATCATGCAGTCTTTCACAGAGTGGTGAACTCCTCCTCATCTTTACTTCTGAAAGCCTCTCTGGGATGCTTTTTTATACCCAATCATGTTACTGACCTGTTGCCAATCAACCACCAGGTGCTTTTTTAGCATTACACAACTTTACCAGCCTTTTGTTGCCCCCGCCCCAACTTTTTTGGAACGTGTTGTTGGCATCAAATTCAAAATGGGCATATATTTTTCAACATTTATCAACATTTGATATGTTGTCTTTGAAGAATTTTCGATGAAATACAGGGTTTAAATTATTTACTTCATAATGATTTCAATAATAATTACAACTATGTTGTAAAATGCAACATAGTTTACGATGAAAATGGAATTTACTGTGAAATATCACTCTACTTTGTGACTTTAAAATCTTAATCCAAGGTTTTAAGTCCTCGATTCATGCAAATTAACTCGAAAGCAATGACACGTAGATTAGTATGTTAATATTGCTTGTATTAACTATGCTTGTCTGCCACAGCTTGTGACTTGTGATCTTGGCCTGGCGTTTTTAAAAATAGCTTTGTTATCTCAGTGGGTCTCATACCTGGGTAAATAAAGGACAAATAAAAAAAATGAAATGAAAGAGGTCTAGGGTAGCAGCTATGACATCACTCCTGTGGTGTGATTAGCAAGTTTTTACTCTACAATTTCATACCACAATAACTAAAACACTCATTATGAATACATATTCAATATAAGAAGTATATGTAATAGTATTGACTATTGGTTCATATATAACATGTAATTTGACCAGGGAAGCTCAAACTATATATATATATATATATATATATATATATATATATAACACACACACACACACACACACACACATATATATATATATAAACCCATTGACTACCTATATATGGGTAGTGAATTCAGCAAATACTATATTATACTATAATGGTATTTATCACATAATTTAATTCAACGTTTGCGACAGCAAAACATTTAATAAGGAACAGGTGGTAAAATCACACAGCCAGTACAACTAAATAAATAAAATAAATTGATGCCATAATTCACTGACATCCAATTAGCTACTTGATGCTATGCAGTCTATGCGGCTCTACATTGGTTGTTTTTGTTTTATGTAGCTGTTCTATGCTCTAGAAGTACTGTTGATACCCATCATATACTCAGAAAAGCATGACATAACCATTTATCACCATATCATATCATATTGCCCCCAGACACTGCATGTTTTTGTACTTTCCCTGATCCGACACACCCAATTTGTCTCATCAGGCCCCGCATGAGTTCAGTCATACCGAGTGAATATGATGGGGTTCTGTCACAGCCTCTGTGTACTGACTCTGGGTTTGAGTCAAGTCAGCTTGGCAGAGGAACTTAGGAGTTTCATCCTGATAATGATCACTTTAAGCAAAGCATTCCTTTCAGATTGCATGTGAAGGTGTAGAGGCCAATTAAACAAATTGGCCTTTGTGACTGAGGGCCCACAGGCGGCTTCGGCTTCACACAAGGAACAAGATTATCACCTACAAGCCAACAAGGTTCTTACAGCTCTACTCTACACGTGTTAGACCTTAAAGTCTTGGACGCAGAAGCAGCCACACAGAAGAAAACTACAGATACATATACAACGAATGTACCCACTTCTCATAGTCAAATATTTTTCAAACATAAATTCAAAAATCAGAACAAATTCTGGAAAAACGTTAAGAGTCATTCTACAGAAACGTCCATTTTTGTGTCCCTAGCGTGTACAGATATGTTACACTTGAAAAACATGTTAGTGTTACAATTTATTAACATTTTAAAATAAAACAATGCGTTATTTTAACAATTACAACTTGTTGAGCCTCAATTCAGCAGTATTGTTTTTTACATCAATTATCTAGAATTCTAGGCACCACAGAAGAGCTCGTCCTCACAGTCATGTGTAAAGGTGAGGCCATATTTTGAAGTAAAAACACATTTTCTTGCCATTTTAACTGCAATAATCTATATATGAAATATTAATTATTAAATGACATAAAGAAAACAAATGACAAATTAATATTATAAATATATAATGAAAGTTATTGTCACCAGGAGTCGTGTCACTGGTGTTACCGCGTAACAAAAAATCTCTTATTTTGAAATAAAAATCACACTGATGACTTCACTTGACTTCCTTTTACCTGTTTTCTGAGGCTCTATGAAGAAAAGCACACGGTGAGTCCACTGTGTCTTTCAGTTATCAGAGATTTTCTCATTTAGCTCATGATTTCATATGAAGCTTTTAGCTGAAGTCACTGGTGTGACCTACTTTATTCTTAGGTAGTTGTGAAAAAATATAATACAAATGGATTAAATTACATATTTGAGTGGATATTCCATGATTGACGACATGTGGTTTGATGCTATGTAGCAGACATTTTGTAAAACGCATTTTTCATTTAGAATGTCTCTGGTGTTTCCTTTATTAGTGTAACACCAATGAGGACCAGTAACACCAGTGACTCCTATGGAGAGATAGAAAAGTGGACATTTCTGTGGAATGACCCTCTAATATACATTTTTCCTTTGAATATGGGAATTTTTTAGAGTCCCTAAGGTGACACAGTGATTATTTTCTAACAAGGCATTGCTACGAATTAATATATTGAGGCCATTATGTTAAGTTTCTCTTAACTGGTGGCCTCAATTTAGTAACCGGTGGTCTCCATATAATAATTTGTGGCCTCAATATGTAATTCGTGGCCACGCCTTATTAAAAAATAAACACAATGTCACTTCAAGGGGCTCCACAGAAATTTCTGATGAGAAATGTAATGAACTGTATGTACATGTAGGCTAAATTCATATGAATGTGCCATTTTCAGCGTCCAAAAAACCCACTGAGCTGTATAAGAGAACAAACTTTGAAAGATATACTAACCTATATTTCTGTACATGAGACTTTCACACTGTAACACTGTGTTTGTGGAAGCCAACAACAGAGAACTTCCTCACCTACAGCAACACCACACCACCTTTCTGGAAACAAATAAAGGTAATTTTCCTCTTCACTCACATTTGGCTCGATACTGTGTCGAAGTCGTCGGTGTTGGTGAGGAACAGAGGGTCTCTGGTCTCTCTGGGTGATTTCTTCTTGCTCCTCCATGAGCCGAACCGTCTCTTCTTCTTCTCAGCGGGGCTCGTGGGCAGACCGTCCGGGCTCTGAGGCTCCGGACTCGGCGGACTCCCGAGCTTCTCCGGGTCTCTGCTGTCCTTCTCCAGGGACTTCGACTTCACGAAGAGCTTCTTCAGTTTGGACGCTTTGGACGCGCTCATTGTTCTCAGAGTTTGAGGCAGATATTTATAAAAGTAAGAACCGAGCAGAGAGAGTGAGAGTGAGTGAGAGAGAGTGTGGAGTGAGTGTGGAGTGCAGCTCCAGCAGGTAGACTAACGTTAACTCTCTGCTGCTCAGCTCGCCTCAGTGCTGATCCTGTGCAGAGGTGGGCTCTTTCACTCGGGCTGCTCTGATGGATTTGTACTTGTACTTTAAAGCGCTTTCACTTCCTCTCGAGTAAATTCGAGGTTAAATCAATCTTTTTTCCCCTCGCTTCTATTCGAGTCCCTCACATTTAGTTCCTAATTCTTTTTTGGTGTCTTATTCCGTTCTGTTGGTGACCACATCTGGGCTGGTGCTCACGTTCCCATTTTAGACTAAATGGATCCCGCCTAAAATAAAAGCCGTGTCTACAGCGCAAACATGTTTTATTCAGTATCCAAAGCGACCAGTGAACCTACATGAGTCTTTGAGTTTTATATGTGATGCTGATAATCATAAAATTATTGAGCCCCTGAAGGACATTGGGAAATTTGTTAAAATAATAATAAAATAATATAATACACACACACACACATTTTCTAAGCCGTTTATCCTTCTGGGTCGCAGGGGGAGGTGGAGCCTGTCCCAGCAGTCACTGGGCAGAAGGCAGGAAACACCCTGGACGAGTCGCCAGTCCATCTCAGGGCATAATATAATAGGATATACTACAACATATCATATAATAATAATAATAATATTTTTAATAATGGGTAAAAAACCTGCTTGTGAAATGACCTGAGATTTTTTTTCCCTCAAATTATCTCGAGATAATTATCTTGTCTTCTTTATGACACGCCAGCCTATATTTTATGCACCCACCTATAGCCATTAAGTTGTCCAGAAAGCTGTAGCTGCTCTTGAATAAAACACACCTCAGATATATGTGTGCAACTCTTCCTCAGTGTCTTTGTATTTGAGACCGAGTTCAAAATAAAGTGCTACATATTGGTCAGTTTCCATTAGAATAGTTCCAATCACAACTTCCAGCACCCCTAACTGGACGGTGGGCCTGGGGAGGTAACAGTGAGTGGAATGTTGCCTGAATGGCATATTGGCGCCATCTACAGGTCAGAGTGGGGAATATGCGTAAATTCCCTCTATATATTTCGGGATGATTACCACAAGATCATTATCCTGAGAAAATTATCTCGAGGTAATTTTGCAGACAGCAAGGTTTTTTTATTTTACCCATTATAAAAAAAAGTATACATATACATATTAATAACCATTTCATGTAATAACTTTCTGTGAGGGAGCTGTTAGAGGCATTAAACTCTTCAGACGTCTGGTTCCTATCGCCACCACTGTAAACAATTCTGACTCAGTAAGTTTCTCTAAAATGGTGAATTTCACTTCAAAGCACTCTGAATACTTTTTGGACCTGTTTGATTTGGCAGCTACTTTTACTGTATCACTTTCACCATTTCTTTGAAGACGGAACACTTTAGCCTGATAGTGGGTTTAAGCTGCTCTCTGGTGAAAGGATTATTTGGACAGCTGGTTAAATCATAGCACAGCTGCTCAGTGTCCAAACTTCAAAATGAAGAGTGAAGATGTAAAAACATTCGTAAAGCTGTGTTTTATCAACTGATTGACATGATTAAATATATGTTAAGTTTTATGTAGCCCAAATAAAAAGTACTGCAATGTTTAAAAAATAAATATAAAAAAAATCACTATAGCACCATCTTGTGGACAAATATGCAAAAGCGGCTTTGGAAGTTCATTTCTGCCCCATTTGATCCATCTTGTACGTTTTCACATAAACATTAAATGTGATTCATTGTAGGCCAACATTTAAATCATCTCTTCTAACCAGTTAGTTCTCCTGTGCTAACATTTAAAGCCAGGACATGTTTATGTAGAAGCTAATCGCAAAATAAATAAAGTCCACATGAGTCATAGCTGCCAGCAGTTTATTGATGAGAGCGCGGTGGCATATGGCAAACATGCAGCGTTTCCATTGTCAGTGTGAAGCCTGCGCTTTGTGCACACACAGGCTGATGGAGGCTACAAACAAAAAAAGGAAATAAAAGGCACAAAATTTAGACATTCGGTCTCTTAGACATCAGTGGAAGAAGAGAACCTCTTTTCCTGAATGAGACAAAATCAGAATGGTGCAACACTGATCCTCAGAAGGCACGTGATTCTGTTCAGAGAATCAGGATTCAGAAAGGTAACAATACAGGTAACAAGCAAGCGAGTCCTTTGCCACTCATTTGATTCCCCTCCTTCATGTACAGCTGCAGCGCAAGCGAAAACCAATGGTAGAGATTCGATCTAGAGCAGTGGCTGTCAATCGACTCCTAGCAAATCCTTAGTGAGAGGAGTCAGGTGCACCAGATCAGGGAGATCGATAGAGCGAGGACAGCAGTGGATGGAGAACTACTGTTCTAACCAGGATCCCTTAAGTCATTTGCTGGAGAACTGTGGCCTTGCCCAGTGCAGTGTTCTCCCCACTGAACTGGATGTTAGTGCAGCTCTGTAGCTCTCCCTCTGCCTTAAAGGAATACTCCAAAACATAACAGAAAGGACTTCTGTTGTACGTGTGCACAGCAAAACGCATGGAAATTGCTGTCTGTGTTAATAAACCAGTTGTTTATCCGCTGTTGTCGGAAGAAAACCTTGCATCTCCAAAATGATAACCGAACAAGAGAAGGAAAAAACCTACTTTACTTTTAATGTAAGTCAATGCAACCAGACTAAAAATTGGCAAGGTTTTCTACCGACAACAACGATGTGTTACAGATGGAGCAGAGAGCAATCAGGAAAAACACTGGAGTATTCCTTTAAGCTGACTACCTGAGGAATCCTGCTTTGCAAAATAACACACCTGATCTGCTTCTAGTGCAGCATCTACAGGCATGGCCACTGTATACAATGCCTTGGTTATTCTCCATTCAACAAGAACGCTGATGTTGTGTAGGGATGGAATGAATACTTGTAGACACTCCAGAGCTCGGGGACCCCCAGACGGTCCACATTTTTGCTCAATGCATAGGGCCAGAGCCAAGATGTGGACCGTCTAGATGTCCCTGAGGACAGGTTTGAGAATCACTGTTCTTATCAACATCTGAGAAGGAGTAGGAGAATGCATCTCACAGTAATTTAGAACCAGCCTTCATATCTTTAAGAGTGTTTTTAAGTTTAGAAGGTGAGACCTTGCTGAAAGCCATGAATATGAAACTAAACTTTCAATATAATGAAAATTTCCTTCTTATTTTTTTATTAGCTTTTTTTCTTCCTTCCATTATCCACATTTAATACACGGCTAAATGAGACATCGTGTTTTGCGCCCATGAGTAAATGACTAAGGCCAGAGGTGTTGTCTAGTATTAAAACTCACAAGCCTAGGAAAAGCCTTCACTCCGCCACATTCAAATTCATGGATGTATAAAATGTACACGTCAGTCTCTGAAAGCTCAAGAAAAACAAAAAGTACAAGTCTGCTAATCTAATTAGTCTTAAAACAGGCTTAAAAAATGATGCAAAAAAACGTGGGAACTGAAACCGTTCACTTCCGTCCAAATTAAAAATGTCTTTCTTTTTCAGCCGATATACATTCACTAACTAGAAGTCCTAGCATAACAAAATCAAAACTGAGCCCTTTCGGGTTTCATAATTAACCATAATGTTTTGGCTATCTGCACAATCGCTTTGACCAATACACTGGCCGAAGGTATGAGTATCAGCTTTTTAGAACTAGTTTATAACTACTAATGCACCTTCAATCGTTTGTACTTCCACCTTATAATAATCCATGTACAGTTACTAAAGACACTTCATAAGAAGTAGGTCTGAAATCGGGTCCACTACAGGTCCACATCCGATACTACATAGTTTATTCCCTTCATGCTTTGACCCCTGTGGGGACAGTAAAGGTTCCGAGTGGTTAAATAGCCACTCTTAAGCACTGACTGTTAGGAAAACTGCATCACTTTCTTTGAATGTGTCCATTTTCTGATTGGCTTACATCAGACCTTCATCAGTGGGTGGAGTTTAAGTAACAGGTTTGGTAATATGTTCCTAGCAAGAGAAATCCATTCTTCCAATAACAACCCACAGTTGTTATTTTTTTAACTTTTACCTTCATGTAATGTTGGAGTCTGGTAGCGTGAGGCTCGATCTAGCGCTCTCAAGAAATAAACACTGGAGCTTCCAACACTGTTCAAATAAGCTCGGTCAGAAAAACAGCAAAAAAAAAAAAAACCCAGAAATGCTCACTTTGCAAGCCTAGAAAAGATGTTTCCATAAATCTTTACAAGAAGAAACAGCTGGTGAATTCACTCCTCTGCTGCTACACGCGGTGGGGGAGGGGAGCAGAAAGGTCAGGTGTGAATGTGTTTGAACGAACATGGCTAGAACCAATAAAGCTCAGACACGCTCACAAACTCCTACATCTCCAGTACGTGGCATTTCCTGCATTAACACAAATATCAGAAAAAGAAATGTGATACAAAAGTTTGGATATACCAAATTGTCAACAACCGCTTTGGGTTACACTGACAATAAATGCAATATCTTAAAGAAGTGTTTATAAGGGACGAGAAAAATCATGCAGTGGGGTTCTTAATCTAAAGAAAAACAAGAGAAGGGAAAAAATGAGTCCATAGTTTTTTTTCCTCTTTTGTGAAAAAAACAGAATTCAGTCCCACTGAGGGAATCGGGGAAGTTGCTGTTTTTCCATTATTTGACAAGCCTCTTGGCTACGTCGGCGTAGGCGATCTCGATCTCCTTGTCGCTGGGGCAGGTGTTGGTGAACTCTTCGCGTGTGTACGCATTGCTCAGGTACTTCCAGATACCGGTCATGTCTTTAGGGATCTCAAAGCCTCGGTACTTCTTGGCCACCACCTACCAGAGAGAGTTAGTAAACAAAGATGTACTGTTACAAAGGCATACTGTGCAACTGGCAATGAAAAGGAAAAACTCACAATAGACCATTTTCACACTGTGCTCGTTAATGTGGAAGAGTAAACAGTAGCATTAAATAGCTTCCAGTTGCGCTGTAAACAATGGCTGCCTGAAATCACTGCTGCGTTCCTAAATGCACCAATAATTCAACTAAACAGCCTCATGTAAGTTTCCAGTCGATCAAGTTTACAAATTTTCAACTTTAGCTGAAAAGCTCTCCTCACCATGTGTCACTCTTAATGAAATAACCGATCAAAAAAAGGAGGTAAAACTGAACTGGAGCGCAAACGTGGGCTGTACAGCAGGACAGATCTACTCACATTTGTGATTAAAAATGCTCAGCTCCAGGTACAAATATTTATTCACTGGCGTATTTACAATCCTGGAGATTGTCATCACAAAGATTTGCTTAAAAACCTCTGAGAAATACTCCTCACCACTGTAGCTTAACGGTTAGTTTACTTTAATGTAGAAATACGATGTTGTGCCTCCATTACCGCTCCGTTAAACGGTGCAGACAGAAGTCTGATAACGCTACTTTTTGCAGAAGTGACGATGCAGAGACTGTGAAAAAAGGTCTGTAGCCACACAATCACCACCCAGGAGAGAATAACATGTAATCACAGAGCTGGGCAATAGGGCCAAAAATCTAATCACAACATCTTTCCATATTGATATCGATAACTTCTTTTTCTTCAACAATTTCAACAGCGAAACAGCTACCCAGAAAACTTAGTCTTTTTGCACTTGAATGCAATGTGAATAAGCAACAAGACAATATGACACGATTTTTCCTGTCATCAAAACTGTATGTACCAAATGCATGATACCTTTCATTTTTGAAAAGTGAAAGGAGAATGGAGAGTTTGGAGCTTCATTCAAAAAATCTTTACCAAACTAAAGCTACAACTTTACCAATTCTTTCGTACAGAGATGGGACTCAGTTTGAGCTGGTTTTGGAGATGCAGCGCCACACTGGACTCCTTTGCTTCTCACAGAACAAACACACAGGGGACACTGAACAGGTTACTTTCCATTTTGGAAAAGTGAAAGTAGTGTGGGGAGCTTAATCGCTTCATTCAGGAGCTGAAACTCTGAATACTTCCACATATACCTCATATGCTTGTAGCCCAGTTTGAGTGCCGCATGAGCTGCTTTTGGAGATTCTAATCGTTTTAACTTTGATTTCAGTAACTATGGCTACCTGTCCCAGACTTGAGCTATCATCACATCTATGAGTAGCTGCTCATACTGTAATGCAGAACAAGGAGAACATGATTGGAGGACAGCACTAACTGGTCAGAGCCTATTTTCACTGTAGCTTTGTGGTCTTAAGCTTAAACTGGTAGAGAGGATGTTTAATGTGATGCATGCACTACCATTTAACAATGACCTGTGTGTGATGAGATGGTTTTGGGAAACCCAGCCCTTTGTAGTATACGTGACCGAACAGCCATGCCAGTCAATGGCGAGCATTGCTTTGTACTGACAAGAGAAACTAAGCCATCCTTGCCACCCAAGTTATGAATTCCATATGTTTCCAGCAGTGTGGTGCATTGTAATACCATTAGGCCTTCCACATCAGTACTACCCGTTTTATTAGTGACCTCAATGTCCCCGTTACCTTGACAATGTGCAGTTTGGGAAGCAGGTTGCAGTCGGCCAAGGTCATATCATCTCCATCCAGGAACTTGCGGCTAGACACCTTGACGTCATCCATGCTGTTGTGGTCGATCTCGTCAGGCAGTGGTGAGCACAGGTACTCGTCCAGCTTCTGAAGGGTCTTCAGCAGGCCTCGCTCCAGAGCTACAGAGACACACATGAATGCAGCCACAATAAATCTTATCTTAAAGAAGATCATTGTTGAAGCATCTGCAAGATGGACTGATGTGTATATATATTTTTATTTCATTACTTTGTCACTTTTAAACATTTCCTGGATCTCCTCATGGATGAAAAGCAGACATTCTACTTTAGTACAGTGTTCCTCCCCAAAAATTGGTCTAGACTACATACATCTCATGTACATTAAGTTAGGTATTCCATGCTGGAAGTGCTGAGAGGGCTGGGAAGTTACCAGCATAAATGAGTATTATCTTATCTTTATGTTGTAGGCCAGAATAAAGAATACGACAGTAATGTACAGTACCAGATTTGGTGCAGAATGTAAAATAAGTTCTCTTAGCTGCCACATGAGGGCACACTTTTACAGAAGGATAACAAGCCCCATTCATTACATACTACATGTATTAAGAATCAACTTACTATAATCATTGTGCTTATAACAGTGATAGTGTAGATACGTTGTATCAAGCACAGCACAAATTCAGCTGGTTAACATACCTTGAGAAATGGTTGACGATTAGCCAGTCAGGTGAATTTAAGCAGAATACAAACTCCTAAAATTTTGTGACCTACATGCGCATGAATTCCACCTTCTCCCCCCTTTTTAGGGGACAGCTATAAAAATATTTTGTGTTATTGTTTCTATGCTGTGTATATGCAAACAACCTAGCATGTGAGGACATGAAAGGAAGCACTAACACCAACACTCATCAACAAGAATTAAAGAGATAGGAGACGTAATTCTAACAAGAATACAAGACTAACTCTGGCGCTACAGGTGCTTTCCACACAAGCTTATCTAAACCTTCTAGGCTTCCAGGCATGGTTAATTTTCCTGCCATCACGACATAGGCTTTGTGAGGGTGATGTATGTTGCTTTTTATAGGGCATCATGTAAACCATGAGGTGTGTCCTGGCTGTTTGGTATGTAAACTATGGAAGAGAGGAGGGTGAGGCTGGAGCAGGCAGTCAGAATAGCTATGGTGGCCTTACTGTTCCAGGGACTTTTGTCACAGGCAGGAGCAAAAAGGGCAACATATCCATGTATTTTAAAGAAGCTTTGTGTACATTTTACATGAAGCTGCATTTGTTCATTGATTTATTGCCTCTTAGCTTAGAACAAGAGGCTAGAGGTTTGTTCCCTGACAAAATGTCAAGTTTTGGACCAGGTTTGAGCTGTTTTTCACAGCAGATTTGTTACTGTAGATTTGTTATTTTTGTTTTTGTAATTTTCTTTTTATTGTACAAGAGTAGAACTGTTCCAATCTATGCTTTTCTAATAAAAATAAATACTACTACTACTACTACTACTACTACTACTAAAAGTAGAATTTTTCCCATTTGAAGGAGTATACATGTGTAAATGCACTGTTTTCGCATTCTCTCTCGGCGTTCTTGTTGTTTATGTCCAACTGTTTGCTGTGGACAAAATAAAAATAAAGCTTGCTCAAGGGCAACTGTTTAAAATTGCAAATGAGTCAAAGACATCGACACTGTATAAACATTATGACCTGGTTGTTACAGCAGAGAGAAAGCACACTGGTCACTGTAGAGCTAGTGAAAATATTTTAAGATATAACAGCAGGAGGACTGACACAGTATCTGTTCAGTGACACATTGATTGTTCTGCAGCAGCTACTAGCCAGAAACAAATGCCAGCGTCTGAGTACTTCCTCTCACTAGTTTAGTCAGTGTCGGCAACGGCTTGACTTTCATACTGTGTAAAGATTTTATTAGTTCATTATCTGTCCTTCAAACTCCTAGTAACAAAGCACAACACTGTAAAAAATGGGCCTGTGAAAATCCATCTCTGTTTAGGTCGGGTTCCAAATTTAGCAGGAGGCTACTGGTCTTATCGGATCAGGTCTCAGAGTTGAGTGTGGATCAGTTTTGGACTTCAATTTCATGCCTTTGCATACCTCTAAAAGAGACAGATGTATGAGTGTATATATCTGTCCTAGAAATGGGCGTTTTGACCTTATTTGCTATTCAAATATCCAAATTTGAAAACAAATAGTAAACAAATATCCTGCAAAGAAAATATTTTACAACAAATACATGAAAGGCTTAACCTTAGTCTGTGTGCAGCTATGAGAGGGTCATAGTGATTCGCAGTGTTTGTTGCAGACGCTCACCCTCATTGGCATCAGGTTTGGAGTTTTTGATGTAAGCGGAGAATTTGGCGAATATGTCCATCCCTGCCGTGTTGGACTCTGGGTGTCTGGCGCTGAGTTTGGCGTACCTGAACATAAACAGAATAAGACAGCATGTTAACAACTAAACAACTGCCCACAAAAAAAAATTCTGTGGTATGTGCATAGAGCGCACACAAACACTCACTTGGGTGGACTGAGAACATCCTCCAGAAACTCTTCAATTTTGTTGACGTCAGTCTTCACCTCCCCGTTAAACGTGATGAAGGGAGGGTGTGTTCCCGGAGCCAAGTTCTGAAGATCTGCTGGTTTCCTGACAACAAACACAAATAAACATAAACAACAACGGTCAGACAGAAACAGATTTTCTAAGTAAATGGATCCTGTGAACTTATTAACTTCCTAGCCATCTCAATTCAGACTGCACATTTGGACAAATATCATGTGTTTGAATGGTCAAAGACTGGCCTACATTATTAAGACATTAATCAATTAGAGCCTCAATTCAGTTTTGAGAAGGCTGATATTGAGCTGATAACAACCAGCGCTAATGTTACATTAATACTGTATCTTTTTTGTGCGACCCTTATCTCTGTTATTGCTGTTTAATACTGATAAGTGATGCAGGCATACAATTAACCCATTTTTGTGCTGCAAACCATAATAATAATAATTCCAAGAAGGACCAATTAAGTACAAATAGAGAGGAAGCAAAAGCAACCTGGCTTTTTTTCTTCAAACAGCAAATTCAGCCTAAGTGTTCTGACTAAATAGGTGATTTGTTTGTTCCACTCTGTCTAGGCCAAATGCACACGGGTCAGGATTCAGAGGAGAACTGCCCCTCAACAATAACCACGGTCCTCTTCACTAGAGTGGCCATTTCCAGAAGCCTTGTGTATAGCCCACCAGTCAAGCGCTGCAATTCAAAGGTCCATCATGTGAGAGAGTGTGGTTAAGTGGGTGTGTGTGTGTGTGTGTGTGTGTGTGTGTGTGTGTGTGTGTGTGTATATAAAAGTGAGTTCCAGATGTCTCTGCAGAGTAGGCGGCATTCAGCACGTATGATGAAACTCCGAAAGACCAGTTTGCTAACTCGTTATGTAACAATCAGCACTCTAAGGACCAGCAGAAATGTACCCAGACCCAACAGACTCTCTACCCCTCTGTAACCCCAACTAAAATGCCACTTCTGAACTGAATATGTGGACTGTTTATTCCACCTAGTATAGGCCGAATACATTGGCATGTACTGTGCAATAAAATAATGGACATTTTATGTTGACATCTAAAATCTGAAACTGGCTCTAACTTTTAAAGGCACAATACAGTGGTCTGTGTCATAATACTGTAGTGTGTCTTTTGATGTTGCATTTCATGTAGTGCTTTCAATAGTAATCATATTAATAACAGATAAAAAAAGCTAAACAAAAAAATTTGAGAAAAAAAACCCCTGAACAATAACCATGCATAGTATTTAAGGTTAAAAAAATACTGGAAACTTTTATGTTTAAATTTAACCACATACACACACTATATAACTGAAAAAGCATATATATTTTTATTTCATTTTTTATTAATCAAGTGTAATTGAACAATGGTGACAGCCCTAATTTGCACACACAGGGTAATACAATACTACCCATCACATGTTGACATCTAAAGTCTGAAATTACTAGGAACTTTTAATAGCATAGTACTGAGGTATACCATGGAAGCTGTTTTAAAACTGTATTGTATTTCACATTGACTCAGACAACAGGACTGCATTAGCCAGGTCTGAGCCTTCTTGCTTATTAGAAGGCAAGTGACAAGTGCAAAGATTACATGGACTTCAATTGTCTAGAGTGCTGCTAGTTCCCAAATTCATCTGTCCTCAAATTCCTCTCATGATCCTGCATACCTATTATCAACATCAATATCAGTTACAAAATATACTACATTTACTTTGATTATGCACTACTGTACAAAAGACAAGCTGCAAAAAAGTTTTTGGCTTAACCTTTTGAGCAAACTACTTACTGTTAAATCAGATAATTATACTGGCCTTGCAAACTAAGTACAATATGAGGAGCCATTTCAGGCCATGCTAAAGCCCGTTGAGAGCTGAAATCTCCCAGAAGACCCTGAAGTCTGGAACACTCTGATCTTACCAGCTTCTGGGCACAACAACAGGAAATGACCTCATGCCTTTGGCATGAGCACAGGAAGCTCCTTCACCCCCATGTTAGCAGAAAGCAGGAGATCTGTGTGCGTGTGTGTGTGCATGCATGCGTGTGTGTGTGTGTGTGTGTGTGCGCGTGTGTGTGTGTGTGTGTGTGTGTGTGCGCGTGTGTGTGTGTAATGCTTGAAGTGTCACAGTCAGAAAACATCCACATGCAGCGTCACAGCCATAATAAACATGTGGGGGAAAAACTCAGACTTTAGTTGTTCACTGCAGCGTCTCTATTAGCAGAACTGTACTCCAGCATTTGTTAAGAGTCACTATGTCTTGAAGCGGAGCTGGCGTGGTGTCTGAGCAGTGACTGAGACTACATAGAGACACTGTGCTTCATTTGAGCAGCAATAAAAATGCCCAATCAAACAAACAATGTCTCTTTTGTATGCCACAGTGCCATTAAGCCCTTAACATAATGACTGAGAATCATATGTGGAAACTCTCACACAGAGAGAGAGAGAGAGAGAGAGAGAGAGAGAGAGAGAGAGAGAGAGAGAGAGCTTTAGAAAGTCTACAGGCTGCTTTTTAAGATGGCTAGGACAGAGGGAGGTGAGTTTGCCTACCCAGGAATACATTTAAATATTTTAGTGCTCTTATGCTTTATCTACAAACAATAAGGCAGATTGTAACAAAGGTGGCGGTGTCTGCATCTACGTGAACAACAGGTGGTGTTCAGACGTAAAGACTGTTGAAAAACACTGTTCAGCTGACTTAGAACTGCTGATGGTGAAGTGCAGATCCTTCTATCTGCCGAGAGAGTTCAGCACTGTGTTTATTCTGGCTGTTTACGTCCCACCACGCGCGAACTCGGCCACGGCGCTGGGGCTGCTGCATGACGCCATTAGTAAGCAAGAGACCGCACACCCGGACGCCGTGTTCATTGTTGCCGGTGACTTCAACCACTGCAACCTGAGGACTGTCCTCCCCAAGTATCATCAGCACGTGAGCTTCAGACGAGGGAGAGCAACATACTCGATCAAGTCTACAGCAACGTGAGGGGGGCCTACAGGGCTGTGCCTCGGCTGCACTTCGGACAGTCCGACCACATCTCCGTGTTCCTCTACCCAGCATACAGACAACTCCTCAAGCAAGCACTTCCAGTGAGTAAAACTATCAAAGTGTGGAATGAAGAAACTGATCTAGTGCTTTAGGACTGCTTTGACAGTACAAACTGGGATGTGTTCAGAACTGCTGCTGTGAGAGAGGACTGTACTGTTGATCTAGAGGACTATGCTTCTGGGGTAACAGGCTACATCAGCAGCTGCACTGAAACCGTTGCTCCTACAAAGCGCTGCAGAAAAAATCCCAACCAGAAACCCTGGATAAACGGTGAAGTTTGGTCCATGCTACATGTTCGCCATGCTGCATTTCTCTCAGGCAGCGCTGAAGACTACAAAAGGTCCAGATACGACATAGATCTATCAGAGAGGCCAAGAGACAGTACAGGCTGAAGCTAGAGGGCTACTACACCACCACGGACTCCAGGCGCATGTAGCAAGGACTGCAGCACATCACCAACTACCAACAGTCAAGCAGGGTGGTCGCAACCAGCCATACTACACAACCTGATGAGCTGAATGAGTTCTATGCTCGCTTTGAGGCCCTCATCCCTGGCCGACAGAGATGTTATGGCCAAAGAGAGCACACAGAACACATCACTCACTGTGACGTCAGTGGATGTGCGCAGGACCTTGAAGAGAATAAACCCACGGAGAGCAGCCGGCCCAGACAACATCCCCGGGTGTGCACTCAGGGTTTGCTCATCAAAACTCGCTGACGTGTTTGTGGACATATTCAGTCTGTCCCTCATGCAAGCTGTTGTGCCATCCTGCTTCAAAAGCTCCTCACTCTCGGACTGACACCCACCCTCTGCAACTGGGTGCTGAACTTTCTAACAGACAAACCCCAGTCAGGCAGAGTCGGCAGCCGCACATCCAGCACAAGAACAGTGAGCACAGGGGTTCCCCAGGGCTGTGTGCTGAGCCCCCTTCTGTACACGCTCTTCACGTATGACTGCATGGCTTCCCAGAACAACACCAGCATCATCAAGTTTGCTGATGATACTACAGTCACTGGACTGATCACTGGTGGGGACGAGACAGCGAACAGGAAGGAAGCGGCTGAGCTGGTGGCCTGGTGTCATCGCAACGATCTTTCCTTGAATGCAGACAAGACCAAGGAAATGATTGTTGATCCAAGGAGGAAGCGGGAGCTGCACACACCCCTGTACATAGGTGAGACAGAGGTGGGGAGGGTGAAAACCTTCAAATTCCTTGGCATCCACATCAGTGAGGAGCTCACCTGGTCTCACAACACACACCTCATCATCAGGAAGTCCCAGCAGTGACTGTACTTTCTGAGAAGGCTGAGGAAATTTGGCATGCCAGCCAAAATTCTCAGCACCTTCTACAGGAGTGCGCTCGAGAGTGTTCTTACCAGCTCCATCAAGGTCTGGTATGGAAACTGCACTGCTCAGGACAGAAAGGCTCTCCAGCGTGTCCATCTCAGGAGCAGCCTTCCCCTCACTACAGGACATTTATCACACCAGGGTCATCAGGAGGGCCCACAACATAATCAGGGACAGTACACACCCCCAGCACAGACTCTTCAAACTCCTACCTTCAGGCAGATGCTACAGGAGTGTGAAGTCCAGGACTACAAGACTGACGAACAGTTTCTATTCACAGGCCATCAGGCTTGTGAACACCTCACTCACTACCTCTCCCCCCCCCCACTCTGAACTGGTTGAACTTTTGGCCGACTTAAAGTTTCTCAGCATAAAATAGCAAAGAACTTTTGCTTTTCATGATCTACGGTACATAAGATCATTAAAAGATTCAGAGAATCTGGAAAAATCTCTGTATGTAAGGGACAAGGCCAAAAACCAGTATTTGCTGGCCGTGATCTTTGGGCCCTCAGGAGGCACTGCATTAAAAACAGACATGATTCTGTAGTGGAAATTACTGCATGGGCTCAGAAACACCTCTGAAAACCACTGTCTATGAAAACAGTTTGATGCTGCATCCACAAATGCTAATTAAAACTCTTAAAAGCAAAGAAGAAATCAGATGAAAACAAGATCCAGAAATGCTGCCACCTTCTCTGGGCCTGAGCTCATTTAAAACGGACTGAGGCGAAGTGGACAAGTGTCCTGTGGTCCGATGAATCAACAACTGAATTTCTTTGTGGAAATCATGGACACTCTGCCCTCCGGACTAAAGACAAATCAGCTTGTTATCAGTGCACAGTTTAAAAGCCAGTTTTCATAATGGTATAGGGGGGCATTAGTGCACATAGGATGGGTGACATGCTGAACGATATATACATGTTTTGGCAACGTATGGTGCCATCCAGACCACGTCTTTTTTCAGGGAAGGCCTTGATTATTTTAGCAAGACAATGTCAAACCACATTCTGCATGTATTACAACAGCATGGCTCTGTATTAAAAGAGTCTGGGCGCCAAACCGGCCTGCCTGCAGTCCAGACCTGTCAGCCCCTGAAAACATTTGGCACATTATGAAACGAAAGACATAACAAAGGAGACCTTGAACTGTTGAGCAGCTGAAATCCTATGTTAAGCATAAATGGGAAAACATTTCACTTTCAAAACTACAGCAGAGTGTTGTTAAAAGAAGAGTTGATGAAACGCAGTGGTAAACAGGCCCCCGTCACAACTTTTTTGGAACGTGTTGTATCAAATTCAAAATGGGCATATATTTTTCAAATAACAATAAAATCTTAGTTTCAACATTTGATATGTTGTCTTTGTACTATTTTCAATGAAATATAGGGTGTAAATGATTTGCACATCATTGAACTTTGTTTTTATTCACATTTTGCACACCGTCCCCCTTTTTTGGAAATGGTGTTGTTGAATAGCATGGTAGCTGACTGAGGGCTGTCAACAGCACTTCAACATACTCTCTTATGAATCATTCAGGGAAGCTTCTGGAAAAGGAGACTCAGCCACAGCTGGCTTACCTTCTGGTACAGTTCTCACCATTTCCCTTAATACTCATCTACTGCTCATTTCACAGGTAGTTCCCACACAGAATGTCAATTGAACATCCATCACTGATATAATTTAACTAGGCAAAAAAAACAAATGACCAGGCTTTCCCTTTCGTTTCAGTCCACAAATTCTGTCTGGTAAACAGTCCGAGTAGCTACTGTTTGTCTATATGGGCATCAACAGTATGTTTGTAAGCCAAGCTGCTGCTGAAACCTATCAAGGAGAAGAGCGGAAGCATCTTCATCAAGAAAAACCTTCAAACAAGGACAGTTCCCAAAAATCCAATCCTGCTTAGTCAGTCAGAGTGAGGGCCTACATCATACTAGGGGAACCCAAGGCTCATTGAAATGCTAATTAAGAAACTAAAGGTTAAAAATGTTCTCACTTTAATCTCTGAAACCATTTGAAGTGTGATAAAAGGAGCGGATACAGAAAGAAGGGCTGAGAGAACAGCCAGGGTAAACATGAGAGAGTGAGTGAGAATTTTATGGATTTAAGTAAGAGTGGCCAGTGTCAATATTGAAAAAAATTGATTATAGTACATTTATTATAGTAGAAAAAAATGGACTCTATAATAAACATAATGTTCAGGCAACACTCTATAATGATTTATAATGTTCAGATAATGTGGCCAGTCATTCCAAAAGATTGTGTTATGCCACAGGAAGCACAAATTGTGATATGGCTTCTATTGTTTTACTGCATCATAAAAATAAATAACTGTTTATTGCACAGACACAATTTTGAAAAATTGCATCAGCAAAAGGAGCGGGACTAAAGAAGTCATAGTAGTTAAATTAGCTGATGAATCAAATCACAGTCAACAGATTAATTGATTATAGAAATAAGTTGCAGTCCCCGTTTTAACAAGACACAATCTCAATAGACTAGCATGTTTGGTCTAGTTTCTTTGAATCTCTTCCAATGACACACATACACAGGCCCACCTCTTAAGGTCAACGGTGGTAACGTTGAAGACCACGCCCTTCAGCCAAAGGATCATGAAGAGACGCTGGGAGAATGGGCAATTCCCTATGCTCTCTCCATCACTGCCCGCCTGCAACACAAATAAGCAAAAAAAAAATAAATTAGACAACACATTTAATACGGGAATGAAATGCATTTATGTGCATTTTACAATGATACAATTCATTATTATAATATTTAATAAAGAATTCCTTTTGGGTGGGCAGGGGTTAAAAAAATAGACAAAAATACATTGTGTACTGCATTTATTGGCTATACTGATCAGCAAAATAGCATATTTACAGTACAAACCTTGTCTGTGAACTATGAGGGCAAAAAAACAAACAAAAAAACAAAAACAAAATAATCGTTCATTAAATCGTAATCAAGGTAAAATATTTCATTAATTGTGATACTGATTTGAGGTCATATAGCCCAGCACTACTCATGAGTATGTCTGGCCTGCATTAATTCTTCTGTCCCTTTAAAGCAGCAGTCCACAACGTTCACATCTGTTTTTCTGCACCACTGGAAGAGATTTGCGATTTCATATTATTTGTCTAGACAGGTGCAAAAGTGATCCAAACATGTAGAAAAGATGTTAGTGTGAGTACGGATTTTTCTTTGCCATCTAAGCAGTGAGAAGATTCATTAATTTCACATTGTGTCAGACATGTGATGCATAATGTGGGCTCGAGACTACAGGTTAAACCGAGTTAAACAGTGATGCATGAAAGTGATGCTTCAGCAACACTAAAGCGCATAAAAGCTAAAGAAGGATCAGAAACCAGGCAGGCCGAGCTTTGGTTGAACTTCGGCCAGCGATCCTACTACAGAGGAGACACAGTAACAGAGGTGGGTAAATCTTTACATGGGCAATTAAGGCTCTGTATGGTGCTGCACTATGTAGTGTTTCAGAGAGGAAATCTCATACAACAGCACTCAGCATGCATCGACCAATAGTCAGATGTCTAATCAATAAACTTTACTCATCACAAGATGGCACTGGTTTGCTTAATATGTACTTAACCTATAACAATCATTACAAGCTTTTAAAAGTGTCCTTTATTAGTCCCACAACGGGGACATTTAATCTCCGCATTTAACCCAACGGTACGGTGAAACACGACATACACACTAGTGAATGCACACACACTAGAGGGCAGTGAGCACACTTGCCCAGAGCTGTGGGCAGCCCTATACACGGCGCCCGGGGAGAAGTTGGGGGTAAGGTGCCTTGCTCAAGGGCACTTCAGTCACGCACTGGGATCGAAACGGCGACCCAACCTCCAGCCCATGACTGCCCCCTAGAGGAATTAAGTAAAGCCATTACGTATGTACAGGCTAGCTTCATAAATGGAAAAAAAAATAAAAAATCTAGGAAATCACAAATCCTCAAAAAAAACTTAAACTATGGGCTTATTACTCAGATATTACTCTGCAAATTCAACTATTCAGCAATTACCATCAAACTAATACGCAAGTTTTGTGGTTAAATGTTCGCTCAGATATGATTGCTCAGAGTTTTAGAAGTCAACACTACCTTTGTCCTGTTTTATGATTGAGACCTATAGAAAGAGACATTCATAGGGAATGGACATTCTATACCAGGGGTCTTTAATTAAAATTCAATAAGGCCCAGTTAGAGAAAATATCCTCAAGCAGGAGGTTTAACTTGCATCATGATTCAGTGCCATATACTGTTTACTGAAGTAGCCTAGAAGGTATATCAACATCTTAAACAGTCAACAACTGAATGTCAAATCAAACAAAGTACAATTCAGTGATATTTCAACAACATTTGTCAGTTTTCTCTTTTTAGAGCATGTCATGTGAAATAACTTTCCTCTGACTCACTTTCTCCTCCAACTGCTGTTTCTCGCCTCATCCAGAGATCTGACTGACTGCACAGATCTGATTGGCTGAGTAGTGTCACGTGTGATATATTACAACGCATGCGATTGGTTTGTGACTCTCCTGGGCCGCTAAAGTGGTACCATAAAAGCTAGAAAAGCTACGCCGATTAAAATAAGACCACCCCCTTGAAATTGAAACACCAAACAATGCAAAAAACTGCACAAGTAAGCCACCCATTCCAGCACATTCACGACTTAAGACCGCACTCCTCAAACCTCTCAGCGTTAGTCTCATTGGTAAGTCGTTCAACAATGTGAGAATACTGAATCATAAATCTAATCAAATCATATCCCTGTTATGACAAGCTTTCCCATGAGAGGTGGCCTCTTTAGATCCTCTACTGTAACAAGAATTCACAATCTGTATAAAACAGAAGCGACCACTGTGTATGTTTATATATATAATATATATATATATTATATATATATATATATATATATATATATATATATATTATATTATTATTATTAGGATATACACAGTTATTGGTTGGAACATGCAGTCACCGTTGCTCTCACTGGACGTCAGTGGTGATTAGAAACTGCAATCCCTCTATGGAAAAGTCATTTATATGCTCAATTTCACATGAACCCTTCCTTCAGACGGCGGTAATAAAGCAACTGAATTATTAAAAAGTAATACACTCTGATGTTCACTCACATAGCTTTAACAAAACGCAATTACTTTAACTGCTTGACAGCCCTACATATTACACATACAAGGACTGTATCTTGATGGGTGCACACATGCATAAAAAAGTGAGAGAAGAAACCAGATAAACTACTAATAAGAAAATATGACAATCCACCATCTTCAATAATAATTTGTTTTGTTTTTTTTTAATTTTTATTAAATACTTTTTACATTTAACCACTGCCTGCAGCTGTCTGTCTCTGTCGCCGGCTCTCTCTCTCGCCTCCTCCCACCTCTCAGCACAACTGAGTACCAGGTTCTGTTAACTTCATGTATATGTGTATGAATAAAGCAACAATCAAGGCTTCCAACAGCAGCGTCCTCCCTCTTCATTTTTCTCCAGTGCTTTTACGCCACTGGACCAGAGTATGAGCTCACCATTCCAACGTTAATTAACCTGAAAAAACTATCACTGCTTCAACCAGGCACTCACTGAAATCTGTCTCGGTCTGTCTCTCTCTCCAGTGCTTCAGAGCTGCTGATATAGAGTGGAGTGTGTGTCTGAATGCTTGTCAGCAGCATGTGTGTTCTCATTACTCCTGAATAGCTGAGTTATGCACACAGGTCACTGTGGGGCCAGAGAGACACAGAGCAAGAGAGACAAAAATCCACCCTTCAGAAAAACTCAAGGGTTTCGCCCTAACAGAGAAAAGTCTGTTAAAAAGCAACCAAAGAGGAGCAGAAAATAAAATGTTTACTATTCTTTTTCAACAGAACTTTGACACACTCATGCGTATATTATTGTGCTAATCGAAGCGTAAACTACATTACTTACAAAACTCTAACGGTCTGTGGAAATGGAGAACATCTTGTTTACAGAATTTTTTGAAAGTGCACACACACACACACACACGACCAGGCACAAGCGCACACACACACACACACACACACACACACACACACACACACACACACACACACACACACACACACACAACAGTGCCACTAACCTAGAGAGAGGAGCTGGTTAGCATTAGCTTAGATAGCATGATAACAGCTCTGCTCACCATAGATGTTCGATACTGGCTAACTAAAGCAATGACAAGTTTAGATGATAATGATTCAACCTGTAACGAGTTCATTTACAAGAGTAAAATCATGTGATCAATCTGGTGCTGGAGTGACAGGAAGCCGAAGTCAAACCTGTTCTGTGATTTTTGGGACTATAGCGTTTTAGCTAACGTGCCACACACTACAGCAAAGGCTCGATTCCAGCTAACTTATGCTAAAGTGACGCCTGTTTAAAGGATAACTGAAAACGTAAATTCAAGTGACGGGTGTGAAAAGCGAAAGCCAGAATCAAATGTGTTCTGTAGTGCGTGTGGTTCTTAGTGCTGAGTCACTATTATGCTTAGTTTTCCATGGCCCTGATTTTTCCCTCTTTCTATCAGCGCCACCTATTGGTGAGCTCCCACACCACCCATCAGTGAGCCACTCTAAAATATAAACAGATGGAACGAGTTTAGTCTTCAGACATGGTACAGTAATTTGACATGTCATTACTTTGAAATACCAAAATCATTTTTAAATACCGGCATCATTATTAAGCTTGAGACCCTAGATTTTTTGGGAATTTTTTGGTTCAATTACAATTGCAATTATAAAGTATTTACATGTGACAGTCACACATCCCATATTGCCATACTCATATGCCATTATTTGACATGTAAATGCCAACAGAAATGTGATCTCTTTATGAATTGGGGTCATTTCTGATAAAAAATTTACCTAGCGTCTACAATTATAAAACATCTGTATAGAGATCTTGAAAACCTCAGATACCTTTTCAGAAATTGTTAATCTGGAGTGTCTGTGAGCTGAAAGTGCAATAATTTTGATGGTGATTCATTCTATTGGTTATTATGAGCAAAAATAAACAATTAGCATAAGGCAGACATGTTTTTCATTGATTTTCTGTCCTCTTGGATTCATGCCGAGTGCTAAAACTCTGATACACAGCAAGACAGGCTTTATTTTTTGATTACAAATTGAGTTGCATATTTAATATCAGATATTTTTAATACTCAAAGTCAAAGTAAACTGAAAGACAGAGCTAGATATAATTGATTTTATAATAATAAAACTATTACATATGTAATATGCGAGTGGGGTTTGGGTGATTTTGGAGCTGGATCTCTGGCTGATGGATGGTCACAGGTGGATGAAATCACTCTGGATGGTGAAGCAGAGTCTGATGAGTGATCTGATGTGTGAATCATGTCGCTGTTTTAATCCTTCGTTGGAATATGAGGGGCAAAAAGCAGAGCAATAATATCAGGATTTTAGGTGATTTTCCGAGCCAAATTACTCACTGATGCTAACGTCACAACTCGATGACTTGTTAGTTAGGGGCGGGTCTGCTGAATGTCCTGATATGTGGATCATGTTTGTATCTTAAACCATTCTGTAGTGTAGGCTAGAAGTGACCTACCGCTTCACCGTTACTGTTACACCACCTGAACCCAGTTTGGAAACACGAAT